TGTAACCCATGTAACCCTGTACCCCATGTGTACTAGGTTCACTGCACTAACACATCATCTATCACGTGCATAACATTGTCATTCTTACATAAGTAAATACATGTCAGTATGTACGTGCGTGCGTATGATTGGTTGAATGGGGTGAGGAGTATAAACGGAATGCACGGGCAGACCGGAGTCCTGTCACGTCCCAACCCAACTCTCTCCAGCCATTCCTCTTCAGGACTCGTAGGAGTCAACATCCATCCGTATCAGCCCTGGTAAGTCTGTCTGTAATGTTCACATTGTCATTGTACGTTTGTAATTTACCGTCTTGTATACTCGCGTCTTTGTATTCATGTCGATGTATGTAAGTTCAGGTCAATGTGTTATCAAATGTATCTATTGTATTCGTTTGTTAATATTACAGGTTTTTCCTACGGGAATAAACAATATAAAACATCCAAGCCTGTCGTCTTATGATTTGAGGGGCAAGGGGCTACACACACACATACACTACACGCATGCCTCTTGCACACAGAGGAGGCCGTCCTTAAATGACCTTAGCTGTTAAATTGGACGTTAAACAAAATCAAACAAACAAACAAAATCTTTGCACAGTACTGAACACATACAACGCAATTTTATCGTGTTCGCAGTACTCTAACACATGGACAACTTCGTTGGGATTTTCCATAATTATTTCATTTTGATGCAGCAAAGCAGTGTCAACTTCTTCAAATTCCTTTTCAAAGCAATAATTTAAAACGCTTTCATATTGGTAAGCATGTTGAAACAACAAAATAGAGCAAGTATCATCCATGGTTTGCACTTAAAGCAAAACTGTAATTTCTTTGATGCTGGCTTCATGGAAGAATACTTAATATTATCAAGAAATACTTTGTGTACATGATAAAGAAGTGTATATATACGTACTTTAACCAAAAGAAGCTCTCCACAAGCGAAAATTAACATGCATTTTATGACGAGTATAATCGGTGGAGCTATTTCAATAAATAGCAACTCTTAGGTTGATTAACATAATAGAAAAAGAAATGCATTCACTGCGATCATGAGATTTTCGCTGAATCTGTTGTCTCAGATATGGTGTCAAACTCCTGAACAAAAATACAAGTGTCCACGAAAAAAGTATCGGAAGTATCACTAAATCAAGGGCAAAATTGCAAAGAAAAGATACAAGAAGAATAAAACCACATTGTGTGATGAACGATTGCACAAACAAAATAAAATAGTACCATACAAATAAGTAATTATTAAAAGCTAAACATAGAAAAAATAAATAAATAGCATGCACATGCGTAATCATTGCAGTAAATTATGTAAGTTTGCACATGTAAAATGAAATACCGTCATACGAATATGTAATCATTGCAGTAAATTATTTAAAATATTGCAAAGAAACGTAATCATTGCAGTAAATTATGTGAACGATTGCACATAAAAAATGAAATAATATCATACATATACGTAATCATTGCAGTAAATTATGTGAACGATTGCACATAAAAAATGAAATATATACGCAACATGCAAAAGGTTACACATACAAATTAATGAAATAATATCATACAAATACGAAATCATGACAATAAATTATGTAAAGTATGTACATACAAGTTGAACTACAAGAACATACAAGTTGAACTATGTGATCGATTGCGTATACGAAAAGAAATTGTATGCCTTACAAATACGTAATTATTGCAGTAAATTATATGATTGATTGCATCATGTCTTCATTGCAGTAAATTATGTGAACGATTGCACATAAAAAATGAAATAAATACGCAACATGCAAAAGGTTACACATACAAATTAATGAAATAATATCATACAAATACGAAATCATGACAATAAATTATGTAAAGTATGTACATACAAGTTGAACTACAAGAACATACAAGTTGAACTATGTGATCGATTGCGTATACGAAAAGAAATTGTATGCCTTACAAATACGTAATTATTGCAGTAAATTATATGATTGATTGCATCATGTCTTCATTGCAGTAAATTATGTGAACGATTGCACATAAAAAATGAAATAAATACGCAACATGCAAAAGGTTACACATACAAATTAATGAAATAATATCATACAAATACGAAATCATGACAATAAATTATGTAAAGTATGTACATACAAGTTGAACTACAAGTGCATACAAGTTGAACTATGTGATCGATTGCACATACGAAAAGAAATTGTATGCCTTACAAATACGTAATTATTGCAGTAAATTATATGATTGATTGTATCATATGTCTTCATTGTTGTGAATTATATGAACGATTGCACATAAAAAATGGAAAAAAAATAATACATATACATAATCATTGCAGTAAATTATGTGTGTACACACCAAATTTAAGCGAAATTGGGCAACATTTAGCTTTCGATAAATGAGAAACCATGAAATGGCAGCCACGAAACAAAATTCGACGAAAAGTTGTTTTTTTTGCAAAATACAATTTGTATACATACAAAAAAACCGGGAATCGGACAATATTTTAATTTCGACCAATCAGAAGTCATTAAACAGTGACCATCTTGTACAATCAGGAAACGGAAGTCATGTTAGTATAAAGCAAATTTGAGTAAAATCTGACGATATATAACTTCGACACCAATCAGAAGCCAGGGAATGGTGGCCATATTGTCCAATGAGGAAACGCAAGTCGCCATAGAGCTTATGTCATATCACACTTACATACCAAATTTGAGAAGGACACCTCTTGTACTTACATCAATAATTTGCAAAAAGAAACAAAAATGTGCATACGGACAGACGAGTTGACGAAATAGGGTTTGTGGGAATTTTCTTTGTTAATGAAGTCCAACAACCAGCATAAAAAGTCTAACAAACGGAATGAATCTCATAAAAATATTGGTAAATTGCATTTCAACACCCTTCTCGTTCGTAGGGACAGACGGACAACCTGAATATTATAGGGCACCTTATATTATATGATGTTGAGATCGTTTAAAGCGAATTTAATATTTTCTTGAAAGATGTAAAATTCAGAACATATTTCCCGAATAGATTCGAAATTAAGTTCCCGTGATTAGTAGTGTAGAAGATAGGTCCCTTACAAGACAGGCGAAGGTCAACATATTGATAACTTCAGTATTTATCTTATTTGCGTTATTATTCGAGATCACTGTCATACTTTGAGACATTTGGTTGGCTCTTAAAAAGGCCTTTATTGGAACTCTTGCCATTCTCACTGGTAGCTCTACTGCTCGTGATGTAGCTGTTGCACAGGCACAAACAAAGTGTACATCGCGCCCTGACTATCATTATAAGCCAGCAGTTGGTGGACCTCATTTGCAGTAAATAGTATAAGGCTTGGACAGCCAGCTCAATATTCGTCCATGCAATGAATGTCCTGAAGGAAACAATTTTCCCTTAACATCTGGCAATCGATTACTGTGTGGTACATAACGATAGCGACGGGATCTGCATGTTGCAATATGATGATGAAAAGTCGTTTGGTATATACGGTATATACCGTATATACCAAAAGCAAATCTTGGTCATTCTTTATAATTTAATTTTAAAAAAGTAGACAAACACGTTGTAAATGCACAGTTAAAGATTTATTTAATTTTTACGTAAACTAACAAAAAGCTGCGTTGTAATTTTGCGCCGTCCGTGTAACCAATCAAAAGTCGGCATTTCACAACAACAAATTTGGTCGAGATGATTGCCACGGCATGGCGTCGGTCTATTTTCCGAACTGGAAGACACAGTTTGGGAAGGATGAGTTGGAAATATAACCTGAGGACATAGTGTTGGATGTAGCAATGATATTGGCCGAGCTTGGAATAGCCTGTTGAGGCCGTGAGACGTCGAAGATCGGGTTGTGTTTGTGTTCATCACCGATTGAAGTCGACGAGCATGGAGCCGCCATTAGGCCTACCGCGTGTGTGTAAACGTTGGTATCACTAATAGAAGACAGAGTTTCGCTCTTATTATTTTTCTGTGTGGTGGAGCACTCCTGGGTATATGAACGGATGGAACTTTCATTTTTGTGGCCTGTCATGTACATAATGTATCCCGCGTCATTTAGCTGCTGAACACTTTATTGTATTTCTACAAACTAAAGGGCAACTCACCAGGATAGTTGTCAAACGTCCAGGTGAGGTCCGCCAGGCTGGAAGGTCCTAGCAGAAACAATAGAGTTATTCGGTCCAGTATATACGTGCTAATCAGCACACGTCTGTTCAGTACTGTTCAGTAGTTCGATCATCAAGAGCGGGTCTCGCACGGTCACGTGACCTCTGCTCTGATGTCTAAGATCACCCAGAGGCTTGATAACCAGCACTTACTAGGCATTTTCACCACACTCTTCCCCGTCATATCCCCGCGGTGGACCAGCCGTTCTCGGCCAGCAAGGCTCTGGGTTTAATACCGGTGATCCAGGGTTGCCCGGTATCGGCCCCCTAGATCAAGGTATCGAGGGTTACCNCCCCCCCCCCCCCACCCCCTAGATTTTGAAATCCTGGCTCCCGCGTCTAGGGGCTCAGAAAAGATTGTTTCCGTTCCGATCGGTACTCCAGTACCCCAGCCAAACTGATGTCCCCCCGGATCTGAGAGATACGACGGGCGGTATGGTCCACCAAGTGAGGAGCGCTGCAGGGGAACTCGGGGCTGACCGAAAAGAAGGGCGCATCTGTCTCTATTAGGAGTCTGGTGGATGGAATGCATTTCACACCGTGTCGTTGAATTTCGACACCATCCCCGACCAGCTGAAGTAGGTGTTCGGGAAACGCGTCAGCCAGGCCTGAATCACTTCTTCGGTGCCACTAAAGCAATGCAGCTGGATCTTCTGCTCTGGTGGGACCATCTCCCTCACCACATCCAGGCACCTCATGAACGCTTCAAGCCCAGTGGGGTCATCCATCAGTCCCCGAATGTGCAGGACGAGTGCCTGGTGGGGCCGGATGTACGGGAGCAGGCTCCGCAATTGCTGCTCCTGGCAAAAACAACAAGTCCGGTGAACGAACGGTGTGGTCAATCCCCACCTCACCAAATCCTGCCACTTCCGGGACCTGTAGAAGATCCAGGAATGTCTGTTTTTTTGACGGAGTGAAGAAGTGCTTCGGGTGCACTCCTATTGCCACTAAATACCGGTCCCGGGTCAGCTCTGGTATCTATCTCCCCCGGATAAGGATTTGTATCGGGGTCGCAGAATACCGCCACTCCGGACATGCCGAGTGCACATTCCGTCGAAGTGACAGGTATTGCGTCCTCCACCTCCCTCATTGAAGCGGCCTTCTGTAGTCTCGGCTTCCGACGGGTCCGGTCCAGGTGGAAGTGGCTATCGAAGGCATGGAGCATGGGTAAAAGGTGCATGCCGGGGGACTCGACCTCGAGCTCCCCCGAGGGTTCTGAGTCTTCTTCCAGAATGGCTGGTGTGGGTACCTGCTGAGGGATGGCTTCAGCATAGGTGAGCCTCAGGTCCGTTAGGGTGGAAGATAGCAACGCCTCAGCCATCACCTTCAGACAGCGCCAATGGAGGAGAGCGGCTGGGGAACTTACCGGATCAAAATTGAACTTGGCCGGGACTAGCCACCATTTCACCTTGCAGAGATGATCCATGGCCTCCCTCTGGCTGTCTGTAATCTGCCAGCCATCTGCAATCAACCGGTATCGGTTGAGGTGGTCGCAGAGCTCCTGGAGAGTGGCTCACCATGCACTTGGCAATCGTGACCAGTCAGGAGTACCGAGTGAGTGTGAGCTTTTCAGACAGCTCCTTCCGTTCACAGAACACTTCCGGAATGTTCTCTTCAATGAGGTGAAGTTTAAGGTAGGACGTGGCCTTCCCGCAGTCCTAGATGTTGCAGGACTGGATCCGACGACCGCCAGACTTACCCAGGTTCTGTGGACGGGCTGCTTGAACGTTGTTTTCTCCTCTTGAGGACCAGGAGCGCTTCCGATGTCCTATCCCTGTACGCCTTGGTCGTTGCACGTTTGACCTCTCAAATGTCAGGGTCTCCGGCAGACTGAAGTTTGTGCATGTCTCCTTCCTCGTTGGACTATTCGTCCGTGTCATCTTCCGTCCGGAAGGAACATATGACACATCCCGCCTTCGGTAGTACATAGTGCTATACGTCCGAATCTTTTTTCTGTCTGGACGGGGCCGTCGAGACATTCCGCCTTCGGGAGTACCCGGACCCTCCAGGATCTCTTGTTGTTGTTTTTTCCTCAGCCGAGGTTCCTTTGACTGGTCTCTCCCCCTTCTGCTGAGAGGACCTCCAGGGGTAAATCAAACTGAGTCCTCTCGGTCTCGAGAGCGTCCTGATCAACAGGTTCCTCCCTCCGTTCTGTGAGGACCTCGAGGGCTCCAGCTCGGACATGTGAACCTGGCACTGGCACTGGCGCTCCAAACGCTGCGGGGTTACTTCGTTGAGCCCCACCACTCCCACTCACATCCTCAGTAATTCAGGAACAGTTTCCTGAATAACCCCTCAGCATCCATCAGCCGCCCGGAGGAGGCGGCGTCCTCCACCAGTCCTAGCAACCTACGTTTTGGGGAAATCTGTGTGGGATTCATCATTGCCTCAGTTGTATCCTGCAGAAGAAATAAAACCGCAATATATAAGATTACTTTTATCTACAGCGTGAACATTTGTACCGGTTCATGTCCAATGCATCTGATGGGGCGACATTAATACAGGACCCATTCGTCACAATAATCACACTGGGTTATGAATTGCCCACCCCAGGGTTGTTTGCAGGTACAGTACACACCCTCATCGGTGTCCACGTTGGATACTGGAGCAGGGACTGTGAAACTCCGCAGCCAAGCAGGAATCTGTCGATCTCGACAGGGCTTTAGTTTGTCATGGTTGAGGACCATAAGTTTGTTCCGTAACTGTACTGTGAACAAGTACGGTGTGATCCTCTCCACCACTATCCCAGGTCCTCTCCACGGGGAGCTTAATTTCTTGCATATCTCTTTTAGTGAGCTATCGTCCAAAATATACACAATATCTCCTTGTTCGTATGAGCGTTCCAGGATTCGGAGATCGTAATTCGGCTTCATGTTCCGCGAGTATTGCCCCAGTTGTTTCCTGGCTACATCGTTGGCTTCCTGTATCGACACCACCAACTCCGAAATGTATGCTGCCACCTTGCATGAAAATCAAATCTACAGGGAGATTCACTTCCCTGCCTAGCATCATCATGATCAATGCTTCTGTTTACCGTAGACCTCAGAGCCCCAGCCAGTTGTGGCAGGAACACATCCCAATCCTTCTGGCGTTTGCCCACGAAGCACCGAACCGCGTCCATTAAGGTTCGGTTATACCTCTCCACCTGTCCGTTGGACGAAGGTCTGAACAGCGTGGAGCCCTCCACCCATTATGAGGATGTGTTTGTTCCCTCGCTCCGTCCTAGGAAGCGGTCCCAGAAAGTCTATGTGCACCCTCTCCATAGGGGCCCCTGCATGGTATTGTACCAGCGAGTGTTTTCCACGCCTGTTAGGCTTCTTATTTTGGTTACAAATATCGCATGTCTGCACATATCTCTCTACATCCTTGGTCATTCCATACCAGTAGAACTTTTCCTTCATGCGGGCGATGGTACGTGATATTCCCTGATGACCCGCGGCCGGTATGTCATGATGGAGTTGTAAGGCTTGATTTCTAAGGCCCCTAGGCACCACCAAAACTCGCTCACGGCTATCATTCTTTCTTAAGAACAGAGTACCCTCACTCATCCGAAGGCGTTCCTTGTTTATCCAGTAAAACTTGGCTGCCGCACTGGACAAAAATATGACACCGTCAGAAGGGTCACCTCGACTCATAAGCCAGTCCCGTACCAGTTGTAGGTTGGGATCCAACTCCTGCTCCTCGCCGACCTTTTCTATAGCAAATCCCCTTTGGGGGTCTAAATCGGCTCGTATTCCATGGACATAGTGACTATTCCCCACCGTTGATCTTGATAGTGCGTCTGCATTGCCGTGCAGTGTCCCTTTCCGGTGTCTCAATACCATATTGTACTGGCTGAGCTCCTCCATCCATCTAGTCAATTGACCTTGTGGCGCCTTAAACCTCAGTAGCCAGGTAAGGCTGCTATGGTCTGTCCGAACCAAAAAAAGGTCTGCCCAAGAGATAGTGGCGGAATTCTCGTGTTAATCTTACCACCGCCAGTAATTCTTTCCGCGTGGTGCAGTATCGCCTCTGCTCAGACGTGAGAGCAAAGCTGTCATAAGCGATCACCCGCTCGTGCCCTCCTTGTACCTGAATTAACTCCCCTCCAATGGCCTCATTGGAGGTTTGTTTGTTTGTTTGATTTTGTTTAACGTCCTATTAACAGCTAAGGTCATTTAAGGACGGCCTCCCCTGTGTGCAAGATGCATGCGTGTAGTGTATGTGTGTGTATTTTGGAAGGCTGCGATATGTTCGTGTTTGTCTCCTTGTGATAGCGCGGAACTGATGCCGACTTTATAGTGCTACCTCACTGAAACATACTGCCGAAGACACCCAGCAGGACGCCCCACCCGGTCACATTATACTGACAACGGGCGAACCAGTCGTCCCACTCCTAATTTGCTGAGCGTTAAGCAGGAGTATAAACTACCATTTTTAAAGACTTTGGTATGTCTCGGCCAGGGGACAGAACCCAAAGCCTTCCTCACAGGGGCGAACGCTCAACAAATGGGCAAAAGTGAGGCATTGTCAAGAGAGACATTAGGAAGAAGAAAGTTATTTAGAAAGGAGAGAAGAGATAAGGTCCCAAATTTAGTCGCCTCTTACGATCATGCAACTGGGGGCTGCAGGTACAATTCTTACGCCCTACCTGCAGGGTCTCTCATTGGAGGCATCCGTGTCCAGGATGAATGCGTCTGTCTCTCGTTCGGGAGGGCTCGCACCGGTGGACTAACTAGTCTCTTTTTTAGAGTGTCAAAGGCCCTCTGTTGCGGTTCCTTCTAGAGAAACCCTGTTTTCCAGTCACCCGATACAATGGGACCGCGATTTCAGCAAAGTCCTTAATGAACCCCCAGTATGGTAGTTGGCTAAACCCAGGAATCGTTCCACATCCTTAGAGGTTGTCGGGGTTGGCCAGTCTCTAACGGTTTCGGTGTCGCTCCTCGACATCTCCAGAGAATTCTCGCTAACTATCCTTCCCAGGAACTCAACCTTTCGCTGGAAAAATTACACTTCTTGGGTTTTAATTTTAGGCTATACTGTCGCAACCTTAAAAATACCCCTCTCAAGTTTTGTAGATGGTTTTCGACACTGCTCCCCAGGACTAGGATATCATCTAGAAATGCCAAGACCGTTTTCCAGTTTAGACCCCTCAGCACCAGATTTATCACCCTAAAAAAAGTTGCTGGTGCCTTGGTCAGACCAAACGGCATCTTCACATACTCAAACAACCCATATTTGGTTATAAAGGCCGCTTTCCTCTGATCCTCCTCCGTTATCGGTATTTGTCAGTACGCAGAGTTAGCGTCGAGTTTGTAGAACCACTGAGACCCCGCTAGAGTGTCCACGCACTCCTCAACTAAAGGAAGGGGGTAAACGTCTCACCGTTACATTGTTCAGGGCCCTATAATCGATACAAAACCTTACGGACCCATCCCGTTTCCTGATAAATAGTGGAGCCGAGGCCCACTCCGAATTGGATGGTTGTATAACTCCTGCCTCCAGCATTTTCGCGATCTCCTCTCCTCCTCCTTTACGAACTTGAGGCGAGTGTGCCTCATCCGCTGTTTAATGGGGGCGGCATCTCGAGTATTTATAGTATGCTGGATCTCTCTTAAGCTACCTAAGTCAAAGGTATGCTAAGCAAACACATCTTGGAATTTGTGTATAAGCTTGGACAAATCACTGAATTCCCCATATCCCCATATCCTTTCCTTTCTTCACTACCATAAAATTTGGGGTGGTGTTCAGAACGCATACAACTGTCTCTTTTCCACTCAGCTGTACCGTCCTTGGTACTACTATTTTGTTGCTTATCGTCGCCTCGATGACATAATCTGGCAGAATCCCGTCAAGATGACACTTTACTAGTGCCACCGAGTTCGGAGGAATCATCCCTCGCTGGGCCACGGTAGGCGTACCTTCACGCGGTGTGTTGTCCCCCTCCCCAACTCTGAGGGAAACAGTATCTTTCCCTATCCTCAGCAGGTGGTTCCCCATATCAATCTTGGCCCCCCCCCGTCCATAGAGGAAATCAAAGCCCAGCAGCATATCGTCCACGATAGGAGCCACATGGAGCACCTCATGGTACACTGTAGAGCCCACTTGTATGCTAACAGGGCCAACCTTGTACCCGGACATATGCATTCCTCTTCCTGCTGTTTGGAAATTCATTTTGCATATGATGGGGGGTTTGGGGTCGAGAATATTGAAGACCCTGTCCGACAGAATAGAAGATTCGGCCGCCGTGTCCACAATAGCGTCTACCTTGGTGTCACCTAGGTGCACGGTTGTATGGTAGAGAGCCTTAGACTTGACCTGGTTGATGACGACGACCTCGGCATCAGTACCCTTTTCCCGTTCCTCGGTTCGGGAATCTGCCTTCTCGGGACTGGACCTACCTAGGCCAGATGGTTCTTTTGGGTCTAGGATTTGGCCTATTGTCCCGACCCTTGGATGTTTAAATTACCCTTCTGGGGGCTCATGGTAGGTACAGCCTCTTTCTTTGGGCATTCTCGGGCAAAATGGCCTAGCTCTTTGCATTTGAAACAAAGGGATGGTGATCTGGTTCGAGTGGTGTATGGAGATTGGCTCCGATTGTGGGACCTGCTGTCAGATTGGAGAGAGTCGAGGTACTCGAATCCATACTGGTCGACAGCTGAGAGATCTGTTGCTGGAGGGTCTGTAATCCTGCCTGCAAGGTTGAGAGACGTTTCTCCGAGCTATGGTCGTCCTTTTTGAGAGCCGAAGCAAGGAACCGGCGTCCCTGCTCCTTGCGGGACTGCCATCTCGCCTGCTTTATGGAAGGGCCCGTTCGCTCCTCACCATCCTCAGAGGAATGTGAATCGTCCGTAGAGGTATCTATGAACCCTACCGTCCTGTAGACTTTAGCAGTCTGTAC